CAACCGTGAAAGACTTTAAACGGACATTAAAACAACATCTTATTTCAGATTTTCTAAAACCTTAATGTAATTTAAATGTACGATTTATTTATCTATTTATTTATTTACTTTATTCTTTGATCTTTTCTTTTTGCTTCTTATATAATTATATATAGTATTATTTTAATTGTAATTAATTAGGCCCTTTATTCTGAAAAGCCTTATAGAGGACGAATAAAGTATGTATGTATGTATGTATATCCTTTTTTGAGCTTTCAATTAAAGAAACTCAAGATGTTGCACAAAGCATTTGGGAGTGGTTTCATCAGCCATCAATTTCTGGCACACCTCTTGCATTTCATTCACGTTGAATGAGGTTAACCTACCAGAAGCAAACATCTGCTTCATTTGCACCTTTGGAAGTTGTCTGTCGACTTCGTCACTCAGACTTAAAAGTAAGTGCTGCAGCCAAATCATCAAGTATATGTTTGATATGTTTTTCTTCTTTGTTCTCTGCGGCTAAAGATGTGCTGAGGGTAGTGTCTTGAAGTTCCTCTTCATCACTATTGTCTTCTTTGCAAAAGGGGTTATCATCCCATAGTCTTGCGTCTAGAAGAGATGCATAATAGTTGTCTAGCAGGTGTTCATCATTTCCATCTGTTGCCTGTCTGCAATTAATGAAAAATAATCCATCCCATTCTGTGACATTTCTTCTTCAATTCAGCATAAACATCTATTTATAATAAATAATTAATATTTAAGGTGGATGGACTCAGTTTTGAGAGCGTACGGGTACTTGAATTGAAACGGCTATTACTCGCGCTGTGGACTTATATAAGTTAAACAAGATTTTTTGCACACTTATTATATTATATGGACTAAATTTTATAATGACGATTCGAATAAATTCGTGTTTTTTTTCCGCTAAAGCCCTACAGCAAGTGTCATACACTGTTATACACTATTTATACACAGATATTTGAAGTTAACTTAAATACTTTTTTATGAGTTTGATCATTTGATTTCTGTTAGTGTTAATTTTTTGTTATTGTTGATACAGCTATCACATATTTCTCGAAATTCGTAAAAAATAATTCAAACTGAAATTGAGTTATTTTAATTTAAGCATCTATGAAAATTACTTTTACAAGTCACCACTTCTTTTATCCTGTTTATAATGGAGCTGGTGGCAATGGTCATAATATTTCCTTGAAACCCTAACTTGTCATTGTTGCCAAAAGCAAAGGTGTCTGGGTAAAAGTTAATAAGAAGTTTGCTGGATGGTCCCTACTTCCTCATCTTTGGCATTAGCCAGAGTTCTGCACTCGATAAGTTTGCCGTTTGGGATTCAGTTTTAGAATAGCTTGACTTACTTGTCTTCCCTAGCTAGGCACAGGATACGAACGATTCTCTCCGTGGTACTTACAGTAGTAGAACAATTACTCATTATTACAGACTGCTAGTCACGGATTAAATACAAGGAAGTTCTTATTTTTTCACGATTTTTCATTTCAACGTAAACTTAAAAGGTTTTTAATCTATTAAAAGTTAAAAATAAGAAACTTGCACTTGTTTTTAGTAGGCATAGTTTTTAGTTCACCCATCCAGCTTCTAACTTTGCTCAGCCGGACTTGACATTTTGTAATGACATGGAAGCCCAAGTCAGTTTTTCATGGGACCACGGTTCCAGGTGAATCAGCATAATAATAGCCGTGAAAACAACGCACCGAATAGACTACACTATTCAACCGATTCCGTGCGTGGCAGAGATGCAAGGGATTAGCCGATATGGTCTGGGGGC